GCTTGCGCGCAAACTTCTTTGCCGTCAACTTCTCTCGGTTGTGGAACAGACTTTCTGTGAAAGTGAAGGCCTACAAACCAACCTCTGAATTCGGTCGGTTACTGGCTGACTTCTTATCATCTGGTGACTTCTACGGCTTATCGAATACACCAACAGCCTTTTTCACGACGCTTCGTATACTCGGCTCTTTTAATGCATAATGAGAGCCACAACACCTACACTGACCTTTCGTACGAAACGTTGAAGAGACTTCCACAAGTTACCACTTCAAACTAACGGCACATTCTGCCCCACCCAAAGAGGTAATCAAATACAGAAATCCTACACCACATGACGGCATGAAATTTATATTTTTAAATACTCTATAGAAAAATGATATACAATGAAAGCCATAGAAAGGGAAGTTAAATAGGGCGAAACACGAACATAGAAAACACTCTCCTTGTTGAAATTCTTGCTTTCTCCGCCTGCCACCTTGTCTGTTTTTCCTCGTTGTAGAAAAATAATTCAGTTCTGAACGTTGGCTTTGTTGCCATCGAGAATTAGTTACTTAAGGAACAGACCACGGCTCAAACCACCCTCCATGGAGGGTAACCAGCCCTACCAAGTTCAGAATACCTAACTACAACAAGCAGAAATAAAAAATGTTCACTGGACTACAACTTCCTAATTATCGAAATCCAGGATTAACTCATCACAAAAGTGACCAGCAGAAGTCTAACACTTACTAGCTGCAAGGGTGTCACGACCCGTGAAAACGAAGGACAAGATGTTCTGGAAGCCCATTTGGTGCATTCAAACAAGTCTACTGCTTCTGCATGCTGGAGTTGGAGAAGCGAAGACATCTGGCTTTCGGTCAGAATATTCATAATGATTATGAATCTCTGTTGTGGAATGGTATTAACATGGATGAATTATACAGTTCTGGAATCGCCAATGAAGTACAATATGTAAACAATTCATAAACTTTCCATCATTATCTCAAGCAAAAAGTACAAACTGTTACAATAGAGGTATTAGCTTCAAGCTCTATTTTTCTCCAGGTAATACCTGTAGTGTCTAGATACAAACCTGGCTTTTTTGCTAGTGTGAAGACACTACTTTCACTTGTCCAACCTGTAAATTTTTTGCACACTTATTCCGCTGGGGTGTTCCATTATATGAACATGCAGCACTTATATCTTCTAGTGACAACGTGTAGGGATTCAGATTATCTTCAATGAAGATGTATGTAATTTGTATATAAACTTATTCATACCTGTAAAAATGGTATGTGCCTGTATATTCGGGAATAAATATTATTATTAAGCAACGAAACACAACTACTCTGTGTCCGTTTGTCATTCCTAGATATTACCTAAGATGCCATCCTTCTTTAGTCTGTGTATGGAGTTGTCGAGGTATTTTAGGTGAGTCACCTCATCCGGACCGGTGGCGAGACACTTTCCTAAGTGAACACGGGCGAAATCTAAACTATGAAGGAAATGAAGCGCGAGGCGCAGCAGTAGACGTAATCTATTCTAAAGATGAAAGGCAATGCGCAGAAATTCATTAAGTTCCAAAGGCACAATAATAGGTATTTTGGGGATATCATCTGCTTTCATATGTACGCGTGGTGCGTGCGTTGGCCGGAGAAACCCTGGAAAACATTTCATGCTACACACAGTCTCAGAAAGGTCGCAAAGTTGCAGTATAAGTTGGCGGCCTGGTGCAATGTTGGCGCCGTTCCACCGGTGATTGCTACTCGAATTCGAGTGTCGCTTTCCTCTTTCGGCGCAGAATGGACTGGTATTCATGGGTTTTTGACGGCTGAATAATAGTCACATCTGCTCTCCGCCCGCTATAATGTGCAGGGAGCTGGTCAGTCGCTTTAAGGAGTATCTCAACGCGGTAATCTGTCAGCGACCAACCTCAGGTAGATTAACAGTTCCAGGACTGTAATGGAGTGGTGGGTGGCGCATACATTTCACCTAACCAAGTGCCATCGAACCACCCAAACTGAAAACTGGTAATTCTCCTAGCTGACATGTTACAAGCCCTTTAGTCACCCGGAGTTATGTCGAGGCGCTGAGACTGATATACCCAATCTAACTATACCCTTGCTTGGAATGCTTCCCATCACTTTACCAATCTTCAAGTACGGAAATCGCAGACACCTAAGCACTTGCGGATTGGTAGTGTGGATGTCTCCACCCTTTAAAGTAAAATAAATCCTGGATGCAGACATTGCTTGTGACTTCCTGAACAAGAACAGGATGTTCACATCACCCAAGAGGGTTTCAGGTGCGGACGGTACCGTGTGTCGAAGCTAACGACCACCTAGAACGACTGGACTGATAAATAGGAAGACAGGCAAGCAATTCAGCTAATTTTTCAGATCGATTCAGAGCTTTCGATAGCGTCCGGTACGGCAACATGCTGGCTAAATGTGGAAGAGGACATCGCCAAGTCGTTCACAGACAGGTTTACAGAGCGCCGTCACGGTAGAAAGACCTATACCAGAGTAAATGGAAACGGAACATTCCGGAGAGCCTCACGGACGGAAGTGACTCAAGAAACGATGCTTAAGCCACTCCAATTTTCGTTATTTCCAAAAGACCTCCTATCTCAAGTCCCCTCGGTCGTGCTTTCGTTTTATGATGCTATCGATGTGTGCGGGATAGTAGTTAAGGCACTGAACCTTCAGGGGCAACAAAGCCGTGTACAACGATTGCAGTTTTAGCCAAACAAAAATGGTTCAAAATTCAACCCGGATAAATCCAAGGTGATGAGCCTTGAAGTAACAGAAGTGATGAAAGCCAACTACACTCCCGGTAACCGCACTGACATAAGGGTGCCTACGAAGGATTTAGGACTAATGCTGATTACAGAAGAATGATGGCAAGAACTGAAGTCACTTCGCACCTTTCAAAACAGCGTACGCTCCCGATTCACTTACCATGGTTTTCAAAACTCAAATTAGGCTACACCTAGGTGTATTGAGCATGATATTCCCCTGTGTTTAAAGGAGATGCAAACGTCATGGAGAAGATGCAGGAAAGGCGACGAAGTAACCTGTTTGACCGACTGGCAAAGTGTACACACGGTGCCTCCGACATTTCCGCCGGTTCACCACAAGGCTGAGAGGGGGAGTAGAGGCAACCTCCTTTTTGGAGTATGTGTGTTATGGGGTGCACTGGCAAAAGAAGTAACCACAAACTACTTACATGACTTGTTCGTGCGGGTGTTGAACATATGCGTGGACAGACACGGCTCACTACTAAACATCCGCTGGAATTAAACATATGCTTATCCGTCACCCCAGTGCCCCACCGCAACATCGTCGTTGCTATCAAACATGATTGTTTTCCTCCAAAACTTTGTTTTTCTCCTTTTTCTTCCTACTAATCATGGTCAAACCGATGTTTTGCGCTGCTCTTCAGACGGTGCCTTACCAATTACCCACAGGCACCTGTGCATACCGGGATCGAAAACCGTTCATTGCTCCTGTCGTCAACCCCATTGCTCTCCTGAAGAACCAACCCGCGGTCCGCAAAGGAGGATCCTCAACCAGATAGTCACTGCCTCAATAGTTAGAGGCGGGTGAACAGAAGAAACATCTGCTGCCGACAAAGGATTATGAGCCAGAAAAGAACAAACCCCGAAGACCAAGGCATCAGAGTCTTAAGATCACCAACTTCCCCTATTCGCATTATATACCACTCAAATGGTTCCCGGCGAAAGTGGGCTGCTTCAAGGCTCTATCTTTGGCTCGCTACTGCTTCTTGCTTTTGTTAATGACTTTTGAGCAACCCTTAATCCCCACTATCTATAATGTGCTTATGATCTGAGGATTCGTGGAGAGAAACAAGCGTGGATGAATGCCGTGGTTCAACAGGAGGGACGTTTCTAAAATCATGAACTGTGTCAGTGAAGACCTGCTGCTTCTCAACCCGGAGAAATGTAGGATAATGACGTAGACAAACATAAGCCTGATTATAGTTCTTGCCGCTGGAGGGAAGGTGAATATTGCGCCAAAACATCGAAAAGGGCCTGGCATTTACTCCAATTGACACACCTGAGGCTTATATCCATTGCCATCCTGCAGCCAACAAGTCACATGTGTCTTAGAGTTCCTCTGCGAAGCTCTAGGGAGTCCAACTCCGGCGCCCTTCGTCACACTGTAACGACTGCATATTTGTCATCTACAGAAAAATCGCTGGTTATACCTCATTCTTGAAGTAGGTCACAGACCACCCAGAGTGGGTCCAGGGTAGGGCTACGAAGAAAACAGTGGTCTGTAGTACTAACATCATTTAGATCGCTGATTTGCTCTTAAGCGCGCATCCAATACAATAAAGAAGGAGAAGAGGGATTTAATCACGGTGTGCCACATCGCTCATAATCCTTTCTATCCTGAATGATTGCCTGTAAGCCCGAATCGGAAATCCCACCCTAGAATGTGACGCGGAGGAACAGCTGCCATGATCCGTGATAATTCGTTTGCACCCAGAGTTGTTAGACTGTAGAACTCTGTTCCTGAAATTGACACAGCCCCTTCTTCTGGTGTTTTCAAAAGGACGTTAGAGCACACTTATAGTCCTGTGGTAGCCTTGGGATATGCCCGAAAAGCCATCTGTTGCCCTACAGACCATGAATAGTAGAACCAGATACAGAGATCTGATTGAATACTTCAACCATTAAGTGCAATAACGATATCTGTAAAGTTGATATACACCTGTAAATTCAGGAGCTATAATATTACTAATGGTTAACTGTTGATTTTCTTTGCATTTTAAGGTTTCCCCGAACTGGAAAAGCAGCAGACCATTCTGAACAAATGGCATTTTACATTAGGACAGACGTAGGACCCAAAGAACCATTGTTCACCATTTCCATAATTAAAGCATCAATCTCATCAGAGCCGAAAGTAGGAAAATAGGAGTAATTTCTTCGTTCACTACAAACGCAGTCGAGCAGCAATAACCATGCCTCAAGAACAAGACCCAAGAGATGGAAAGCTGTCAGTTTCTTACGCTTGCACTATTGGTATTGGATGTTGGGAGTTTTAAGTACATGTTAGCTGATAGAAGTACAAGCGGACTTTCCAAGTATTGCGTTGCCCGTGCGGTGAACATCGTCGTTAATGGAGTCCATGGAAGAGAAATCAAAAAAGTCGAACAAACCAAAAGGTACTTATGCTATCTATAACACGAACTCTGAATAAGATACACGATTTCATCAGCAACGTCTTAAGTCTTGGAGACCAATTTTAACTGCTAGAAATTCTTTCCCTATATTCCTTGCATTCGGGATTGTATGTGTACCACTCGGAATAGTCTTGCTGATATACTCGAATAGCGTAAGTTTAGCATTGTCCATTGATGTTTCCCAAAGGTCCAAGAATTAGTTGTGGAGTACACTCATTGTGAAGATACTGTACGTCGTACTCGGTGTTCTGAACTGGTTAGACTTCCTGAGTTCTATGGCTCGTATAATGTATGTTCGTGTAAAGTAGAATTTGAACTTAAAGAGGACTTCGAGGTGAGTTTAGTTTCGATAAATATACTCACAAACTTTGTACACTGTACACTTTTAGAGGTCCACACTCCACTCACATTTTTGTGTGAAAGCTTGAAAAAGACGGCAAACTCTCTACATTGCAAAATGTCTGAAGTTTGTTCTTGTAGATTCTAGATACCCAAAATGAATCCCACTCTGCCTAGACAATAGTGTTTATATTCAAAGGTCTCCATTTGTGCTATTTCACTTGACTAGATACCTAGCTTATTACGTAATGCATCAAAATTTTGCATTCATTTTTCGATGCATCATTACTTAGTTTTGCATTTGGTGGATTTATTTCATGTTGTACAGGATAACTGCTATTCAGTCACCCAAATACATGATTTATGGAACAGGATGGGATGTGTTGGTCAAACTTGAAAAATGTGGGAATCATCATCTTGGAATTCTGTGATTGCGGACGTTACATGTGTCGTGATGGGAACCTTGCAAAATTGCGATCTCTTAGAATTTCTGAAAATCTGGTGGTGTTCACTTGCGCGTTATTAAACTCGAAAGTCAACAAGATTTAGGATAAGCACGCATCAGTTTTGGAGCATTCAGTTTACCTATGCGCCTCGATTGGTTCAAAAGAGGGAACTTGATTTCCATGCTCCATCAAAAGCCTGACGGATTTAGTTTTCTGGAGAGACGATGTTTCCTTGTGTGTATTACAGCTCATAAAGATAAACATTTGTTTCATAAACTAAATAATACTGAAGTTAACCTCTTGTGCTGATTGCCCACAACAGTCTCGCTGCATAGGTTAGGTTATAATAAAGCGTCAATTCTCATAATTAAAGGGGTTTTCCATTTTGACTGACTGTATGTACACCAATTGGAAGATAGACACGAATAAGCTGTTATAATCAGCATTTAGTTCTCATCCTTTTGAATCATCCATTGACTTGAACTTCTGTTGAATAAGTTCATACGACGTTATTAAAATAATTGTACCTGCAGGAATTTCTAAGCACCTATATACACGTGGTGTTGATAGTTGTGAGGGGTTGATAGTTCTCGGCTGTCCACCGTGGAAGGCCAGTTCTTCTAGAGAAAAAAGGGCTTGTTTGTTGCCGCAGAGCCTAAGGGATATCTTCAGGCCGGATGTACATGGGCTTTTTGCAGGTTTGAGAGTCTGGTGTTTTGCTTTGGAATCCGACTGTGAATCTCTGTCGCGGGTATCGGCATTCCCCGGTTGGTGGGAGTGTGCTATTTTGGGGCTGACCTTCTCTAACCCTCCTTCCCACCGAGAAAATAGCATCAGCGTAGCACTGCCGGTCATCCAAAGTAAACACCTTACTGTTGTAACCCCCCACACCAGTCAGCAGTACGAATTCACTCTCAGACTCCATGATAGTGTAGCTATTTACACTAATTACTATCCACCGGCCGCGTCTGATATAGCAGAACCTCGAGCGAACAAGCTTGCTGGGTCATTGTGATATGCAAACCCGACCACCACATCACCGTAGCACCTATCGTTCGGGCGGGAAGGAGGAATTAGAATAGGCTGCATTCATCATAAGGATTAAGATGAGGATAATGTGTGGATACATCTGTGCCATTGAGATTGGCTCTGATACATGTCACTTAAAGTCTCCAACCATTGGTTTCTGTTGTCACGCGTACTCCAACAGGAAATTCTTTATTCCCATACACGGGTCACACCAATAGTCAGAGATTGCATGCACTAATGCTGTGTTTTGGTCTGACCATCCCGACCCTTTTTCAGCTGACATTGTGCGACGAGACAGACGGTGACTAGGCATGTGGAACATTTCCCAGACATTTGAGTCAATGAATGTTCACAACCTCATCAAGTGACATTCCTCCCTCCCTAAAAATCTACACTTGACTTCTACATTACTGATATGGTGACACCACGATACACAGCCTATGCTGTGGAGGCGATGGCGGTCAAATACCTGAAGCATTGTCATGTTCTTTACCTTTGATAGCCATTTTCTACATCCATATAGTTGTTCAGACCAAACTGCAACACAATACATTCGACTTTTAATGGACACCTGCACTATTAGTGGCGTAAGTTGGCGAAAGATAACCGAGCCTTTCGCATCCGTGGACAAATTTCATTGGCCGTTCCCCCTTCTCCCAGGGATGATTCGACTCCACAGGTAGGTGAATCCGTCAACGCACTCAATCATTTTACTCACTCTTGTTAGAAAAGGCACCACTGAAGACCGGTCCTTAAGTAACAATTTCCATTTCAGTGGCGAAAAATGCATCCTAAACATTCTCAAATCGCGACCCAATGTGTCTAGAAGATTCAACTTCATGTCAGCGTCTTGACCTACCAGAATTATGTCATCTGCGTACTCTCAACCTACCAAAGACTTTCCTGTGATAATATTAATCCCTGTGAAATCAGATTATGAGAAGGAGACATCCATAATTGCATCTGTGAGGTAGTGGACGTCATCGACGGGCACAAATCACCTGATAACTCACTATTGGCTCTAAGAGGACCATGTGTTCGAGTGCGAAGCCTTCAATAGAGTGCCGTACTTGCTGAACACCCCTATCAGTGGAAGACGCTGCTACAAGACCTCTTGACCTCTTGAACGCAACCTTCGAGTCGGGAAATAAAGCTAGTGTTGGGTGTTAGCAAGTGTGCCTGTGTTCCAGAACCTGGCGAAGTGCGAATACATGGTCGACGCAGCCGCTGCCAGGTCTGAAGCCTGCCTGATTTTCTCGGGTTTTCTGTTCCTGATCTTCTTTCAGACATCTTACGCTTATAAAACATAGAATCGCAGACACTGTTCGCCAGACGGATTCCCTTACGGTCATCAAAAGACTTTTGACCTTTCCTGAAGACTAGGAGAATCATTGCCTGAGATCTCTCACGGGGGATCATATCTGACTCTCACTTACTAGTTAACAGTTCAGTTAACCAATAATCCTTGACCACCGTCCTAAAATACCTGTGTTGCTAGTCCACCTGAAACTACTGCTCTTCTGTAATTATTGAATGTCCTATCTCGGTGTTCTGTTCAAAATTTGACTGAGCAGCGCGCGACGGTATAGTAGGTGGAAACCAGTTGATTTATGTTTCGAAAAGGGCCATTTACTATTCCAGTCGTCTTTATCTGAAAAGTTAAGTTTCACTAGAGGATACGAACCCAGTACAGCTATTGTTCAATTCACAGAATTGCTTCATAAACCTACCACTTTCGATATCAAACCAGTTCCAAAGTTAGGAAACAGAAAACAACATGAAGCCACTGGAATGGGATGTCGTCAGATACTAGGAATCCTACGAAGATTACGATGAGTAATCAGTCACTGAACATCTGCAAAGTCGAGAGTTCAGATTTTACGGGCACAAAAACCCACCCGGTTGAGACGTAGTGAAAACCAAAACTTTTACTATCAGGCTAACGTTACAATGGTGCTAAATAAAAACAACAGATCAGAGCAAAAACCATGGCAGGAAATCGATCGCATTTGCGCAGATGTGTTCACTACTTGACGTCTTCTTAAGCTTGAATATTCGCACTAATCTTTATCTTCAGGTTGTTTATTCTTTCACACAATTTTGTCTACTTTGAAATCACTGATTTTCTATCTAGCTTTTCTTTTTGTACTACGGTGAAGTGTGGCAAGTTGAACTGATGCACTTGTGTGCAGGGTTCTACGTTGATTTTGCCTATCTGTTTATATATTCCTCCTTCCTCTTCTTTACAAATTTCTACCGTTGTGAATGCTTGTTCCTCAATTTCTTTGTCTTCCGTCTTAATGCTTTTTGCCTCCATGTGTTGATGTTTGCACTTTGGAGTGTTATACAACTATACTGTGTCCTATGTTGATGTTGCTGATAATGATGAAAATACCTTATTCGGAAGTTTCGGTTTTGTTATGGTTTAAGTTATTTTTAAACGGAAAACAACCATTGTTTTTCTTCAAAATCAGGATCATGTTGAACTTTTACTTTGATACTGTGATATTTTAGGAAGGTTATTTGTACGAGGTTTTGAGTGGCTTGTTCGCCAAAATCTTATATGAATTGTTTTCGTAAGCTAGCTCTCTTGATAGCACGTTCCCACTTTCATAGGCCACTCAGTTGGTTCTAAGATAATTTAGAAGGACAGATCAGACTATATTTCTGCTGATATTCTCGGATACGATTAATTAGGGACCCGTAATCTAGTTACTACACGAACGATACGATACACGATAACTGCCTCAGCTGACACAAAAAGAAGACAATGTTTAACTGGAGCTAGTTTACTCCGATAAAGGTATGATGGTGCAACCCAGAGACACGCGTCACGTTTATATATAGTATATTCCATCCTGAAGCGAGTAGACAAAAGAGCATATTACAAGTGAGGGATTAACCAATAGGAAAACAGTGTTCTCAGAAGTATTAAAATTAAGTAATGCACGTGGGGTTGGAAAAGGCGCGAAAAAGTTTGGATTTTCAGGAGATAAATCCATACAATTTAAGTATAAAACATCCATGTTTGGGAATGTAACATCCTCAAAAGTTTCTACTTGCTCTGTAAAAATAAATGACGCTATATTTAATGCCTTTCATCTCCTTTAAGGGTCAAGTATATTTCTACTATGGTCTGTCAAACTTCTTTCAAAATCATCGCCGCTATGTGATTTCAAAAGATGACAACCAATTACATGGCTCGGTGGAAACTCCGAAACAAAGTTGTGAACCATATCGGTTTGACTCTACCGGAAAAATATATGCCCCATGTGGAGCTATAGCAATGAGTCTGTTTAATGGTAAGTTTAACGTAATTAAAACTTTTGCCTATTGAAAAAATACAATATGGGAGAAGTATATTTTTAGATTTGTTAAAATACTGCAGTTCGACAAAACTTTTTAACTAACACCTGCTAACTTGGTGTATTGTTTAGGCTTGCATATCGTAATGATCCACTGAGTTATACTGTTTGAAACAGTTGTTTATAGAAGTACTACCATAACACTGAGCTGTGGCAACTCGGACCGTTACGCATTAATGCCTGGTCCTATGTTGATATTGATGATGATGACTACCATAACAGAAGTGTTAGTTGGATGTTAGTAACAATAAAAGCGATTACCGTGCAAATAATCTATGCCATGGTGCGGTTTTGGTGCTGGAAACATAACTCTCAGTACGATAATATGATGGAAGTGAGGTGTTTGCCTTCGGTGACCAACATTCTTACTGCATTTCTTCTGTATTATGAAAATTAGAGGTCAAAAAAGGTAACCACAGAAGCTTTGAATTTTTGCCTGTCTTGTCGCTTTCTTTGCTAGCGATTAGGTCTTTTGAGAAAGGATGTGCCTTTATGAGCAGAAATACGCTTAGTAAGGCCATGTATGACTTCATCCAAGTAGTCTTCTTTTCTACTCTGGAGACATTATAACATGCACTCGAACTTACCGAATTCAACTGTTTAGATTACTGAGAAGTATCAACTATCTTCACATCCCCGAAGGCACATACAACTCATACAGTCATTGACATTTATCTCCATCCGCTCCTTATCGTGTAATCTACGCTATTTCCTTGTAATTTCATAAAATTCTTAATCTGCCACAGTCTGGTGACAGTTGAGGCCTTGAGTTTTGATGCATTGTTCGGAAGTTGCTCAGATACACAGATTGGACCAATCAGAAAGACATCTCAAGAGTATCTTCAGAATAATACATCAACCAATCGACAACAGTGATTGTTTTGTGCTCATAGTTACTTGTTCCTTGGCAATAGTAATCTGAGACAGAATGATACTTATAATGGTAAAAGGTACTAGTTGTCGTTAATGAAGTTCTACAGTATATTACCTCTATCGTAGTATCTGTTTGGACTCCTATCATTTTAATAACTCAAACATGTGTTTGTCCGTACCTCAATAGGCTTTGGAAACCAACATCAGTAAAGTCTCTATGTGCTTGGCGTGGAGGTAACGCTGCTTCTGTATTTAAACAAGAGGTATTTAAGGATTTATCTGAATATGGTAGGAATTCTTCTCTTGATAAAGCTGGATGTTCTATCTAGTCTTCTTTAAAAAGAATTTTAACGACAACCACCAAACAACAAATGAATCTCTGTAGTCATATCTGAACGAATAAGTAAAAGGATACTTATTCATGCTGGTACATACCACCACCAGGGGCAAAGCTAACTCAAGGCTGAACTAAAGGTCTTAATCACCATCGTAAGCACTAGTGAATGGCAAAAGACAAAAGCACACAGAAAGCGTTGGTGCTATTATAAATTATTTACGCTTACTCAAGAGACTGACATAGGAAAAGTGATGGTCAGTGCGACTTTCACTGAAAACAATGGCTTTCTGATAACATCTCAAAACAGGTGACTGGAACATCGAGTGAAACATTGAGGAACAGTTCAACACTACTCTACGGTCAAGTTTCAAATGCCTAACATCCAGCCTCAATCTGAATGGAATGAAGATGTTAATACTTTAAATCTCCCCGGGATCCAGATAGTTGCTTCTAATCTTAAATGACACAAAGTACCAGGACCTAACGATTCGCTGCCAGAAATCTTGAGAGATTGAAGTTGATAATTACTGATTAGAGTTAATTAAGAACTACCTAGCATATACGGGAATCAGACAGTCCCGTCAGACTGCACTAGACCTCCAATCATCTTGGTTTATGAAAAGATGATCAGTCATGATGTGATAACCACAGAGCGATCAATATGACTGAGACCATATATTCAGGCTTTAGTGTTCATAGTCACTGAACACCCGACTGGAGCCGCAGAATGAAAATCCAAATAAAACTAGACAGGTTTCACACCTAGATGACAGTGTATCAAACAAGACTTCATCCTTGACAGATTTACTTGCTGGTGAAGTGACAGAAGACAAACACAACAGAAAGAATATTTATTATCGGTTGTCGTTACGTATGGTACACCTTGCACTAAACCCGTCATTTGCAAAATGTGTTGCGTTTCCTCTTCTGTTTCTCTCTTGATTTGCTCTTCATATATTCTTATCAGCAACATCCACTGTAGTACGCCTGCGTTGCTCTTGGCAGAATCCTTACCCATTGCTGGTAATTCCCTATGATTCCTGCCACCCTCTCAACACATACTACTTATACCCATTCTTATCAGGGACGCCCACTACGCTGGTACTCAACATTTGCCGTATTTCTTGACCAGAAGTTGGCATTCGATCCTATGGATGAAGGATTGTTGTGGGAGTACTGAGTGAGTATATTGTGCTAATCTGTATACTGGAGATGATACAGCTATGTAGTAAGAGGTAACTGAAAGTCGATGTCTGAGGTAAAGACAACTTCTGATATCCACCAGTTGTACTTACTGTTGTTAATCCTTTCAGGTCTTGTTAAACGTGTATCACTTCAATGTATTACAATTAAATTCTTAATACAAAGTTTACACTCAATAATAAGTTTTTACTTTGGTAATATTCCAAGCAAAATCACTGCCAGAGATCACACCAACAGTTGGAATAAGTTAGCAATATTTATTCTATTTGATTTACGTTTGACAACCCATGAATTACTATGCTATCTTGAAAGCATCTAGTTGACAGAAAATACGCTCATGACGTTGTCCTGTTTAACTTGCATTTTCGGTTTGTTCAGTTTAGGATGATGCTTCAAGATTGGTCTGCGTTTCTTTCTAATTTAGTTTTAAGAAATGGTTTAATATGTTTAAGGGGTAAGTTTTCTACTGGAGCTGTGGCTCATTGGTCTAGGCATTACTTCAACCAGTGGGTCACAGGTTTATACCCTGCCCAACCTATGTGGGTCTGAGCAGCCACTTAGTATTGTTAGCCCTCTCACAACAGTTGTAGCTGATTGTCTATTGCATAAACTTGCATTTGATTACTGAGTGCACTTCAGTTCGATGAATTTTCCTTTACAGTGCATGCGAGTTACTTGAAGTTTTCATGTTTGAGGCAATGAGAATTATTGGTTTGAGTGTAATCAAGAAGTAAAAAGCAAGTACCTGCCGTAAAAGTTAACACGATTCCTAACTTTTCTAAAAATGCATGATTTTCATATTCGTTCACACCCCACTCTGAGAGTCTATCGTCTATCCATAGCTGTGAATTTATGTGGGATGCTTTATGCTATGTAAAATAAAGAATCCAACATAGAATTACACTCTCTCGCAGCGTACATGTGTTATGCTTATATTCCACTTATTTTGTTAAGAGTTGACTTTAAATAAAACTAAGTTCAGAGCTATCAAATACTACTAAACGTGTAACACTTAACTCTGTACTTACAGTGTTATTCCGCTACCACAGAAGCGAGAAAAAATATTTCTTCGTGTAAAATACCTTCACGCCACAGTGATGCGTATCAAACGCATTTACCTTCAAGTTTTTTTTCTCAACCAAAGTTTTGTCAACATTTCCCTATTTCAGACTCCTTCTCTCTAAATTATCATGGTAAAAGTTCCAATCGTCTTGATCAACCTGTACAGGTTCCAGTGACTAGCGAAGGAATCGCTTGGCGTACTGACGTTGAAGAGAAATTCGGAAAGCCACCAGCTGATTCGTGGAACAAGACAGTAAAACCTGTGAGTTGGAAAAAGTCTGCTCTTGAACGGTCACCTGATGCGTATAGCGGAGATGAAGAGTTATTAGTATGGATGCGTGTTGCAGCCTTACCGACTTTCCGCAAACTCCATCGTTTAGTCAATCATGTTGGAACTTTTTCAAATGGTTTGCCAGCTGGAATTTACAGTGTTGACATTGATTACTGTAAGTATTACATGCTTCATATGCACTTTTATTTTATCACGATCAGTTGATAGTTGATTGAAACTACCTATTTCCCAGCTGTTTAGTTTGTGCATTCATCCCAGGGTTACATCGTTCATTTTATATCCAGGTGATCATAAGGTTTTGTTTTAAGGCATTTTGATGATGTTACAGTCGTTTTGGTGTTACTTTCTAAAGCACATTGTCATACCAGGTTCTACATTGCGTTTGAGTTTTTGAAGGTTTCATTTTCTTAATGTCCTACTTGTGTTTCCTTCCGTCCAGCTTATCCTGTTACTCAATTTGGTGGTACTAAAAGAATCATATTGTCTACAATGAGTTGGTTAGGTGGTCGAAATCCAACTTTAGGAATAGCTTATATCGTTGTTGGTAGCGTCGGGATTATACTTGGTCTCATATTTCTTTTTCTTCACTTTCACATCACAAGGAAGTAAGTTTATGTGCTTTGTAAATCAATTTTTCTCTGTTTCAAAACTATAAAGTAATTTTATGCTTTAGGTCAGTAAGCCATAAATCTTGCTTTAGGCTTGGATGTGAAGAGGCACTCTATTTTTTAGGTAACCTATAATGATAGTTCAAACCATCATAACGATGTCTATGCTAGAAGTTTATACGTACACGCTTCTGTTAGTGCTTTATCACCGATATAAGTAACTATCTAAAGTTGTCTGGTGCCTAATTTGCATCACCATATAACAGAAGTCATGAAAGATAAATTTCCGTCTGAGAATGTACTAATGCGGTTTTGCATTGGTTCTTTACATGATTCGATACATTCAGTGTCGGTCATGATTTTTAAAAAGATGGCATTAGTGCTTGTTTCAAGTTGAACAAACACCATCTCATTTTCTACTCCACAAATCACGACACAATGTAACTTTTTCAGACAGACCAGAATATTAAAACTTTCGTTTTTAACATATATGGTTTTACTCACCTTAAACACGTGACCATGATATGGCATAGTCGTTACAGTAGTAAGTTTCTGTTACCTCGTTCAAAAAAATACGACCAATGTTAAGTTACATTTTTTTCTCAAAATGACGTACTTACTAAAAATAATTAGTAAATAACCGACATCGTGTTCTCAAGATGCTTAAAGTTTCTTGCTCTTGAATATCATTTACCCAGTGGCCAAATTATTTAAAGTCATCAAACACTAGTATGATTTTGGTATCTATACCACGGTGTGTGTTTAATATGTAGTAACTTCCCACTCTTCTGTATTTTTTAATCATATGTCAAAGGTTCGTGAACTAAGACCTACTGTTACCTGTCACATAACTGGTGAAGCCCACAGCCTAATATATGAGCATTCATATGTTTACCGGGTTACGTATTTTGTTGCACCAGAACTGGAATTTCATTTGGAGGGACGTAAGAAGCTTGAGTATAGCTAATCCCCACTACTTTCAAGACATTGGAGTTCTCAAGGATCCAGTTCCTTTCTACTACTCTTCAGTACTTGACAGTTAAAGAGTCTATCACACATAATTCATCCCACTTAGAAAAGGCTTTTATATTTGCATTGCCGTAAGCGCTCATAATACAGTTGAGACCCGCCTCTCAACGCAACATATACTGGAATGCTCATTGATGTTATTTATTGGATACATTTATCAAATGGTGGAAAAGATTTGCACCTCAGGATAAGAGTAATGGTATTCTGTGAGCTTTTCTACTTTGTTGTTGACTTTCCACTACCAGTCCTGGTGACATTCTCAGTAATAACTTCATAAGGAAGTAAAGCATTTTCGAATGTTAAGACAGTGTTTTATTGACCCTGGGGTGTTGTCAAAATGTAAGTTGGAGATATTTTTGTCTCACCGTGAGCTTGAATTTCTTCCTGTCAGGCTGGTACAGACTTAGCTGGAGTGAAATTTTCCTATTTGCTACTGTCACACTGTCCCTCCTTACTGATTTGTTTGATCAGTTTGTCCTTGATTGATTAACGTTTGTTTTCTTCAGTAGATTGCAAAATGAGTCTATATCCACATATCTGTTGGTGAATTTTTCGTTGGAATGCCATGCTTCTAGAAATCCTCTTGCAGCTTTTGAACCTACTCTTTGGACAATTTTCACATTCACGCAGTCAAAGTTGTGATTGTCTGTGTGCATTGAAACCAAGGAGGCTGCGTCACGTCACTTAACTGCCAATTTTTGTTCATGAATTCTTTGAGCAATCCGACGAATAGAATGGCCAGTATAATGTTGTGAACAGTTTATGCTGTTATTTGATTTTGTAGATCATATTTATTTCGTCTTCCTTTGGCGACGGATCATTTAGTTTGCACAACATGGTGTGTAGTGATTTCGTCTGTTTGTGTGCCACTCCAACTTCGAATGAACGAAACAATCAGTTGACAGTTTCTGATGTCTTTGATGTAGGTAGTGTAATGTGCCTACTGGTTTGAGGTTATTTCCCTGTCTTCTGTTCTGCTGATAACCATGTTTTGATAACCTCGAGTGAATAGTCATTAGCTTCTAGCACTTTGCACAGGTACTTTTCTTCGATTTTTCATAGTACTTCAGTACTGAAATTTGTTGTGCCTCTTGAGAATAATGTTTGCACACAACATTTTTCATGGATGGTTGCTGTTGTGGTTCAAAGTTTTATCAGTATGTATGGTTTTTCTGTACACTTGAGTTTTGTTATTAGTTTCCTCCTCGTTTGTGAATTCCTTCAAATGTGTGGTTGATTAGTTTGAAATTGCTTTCTGTTTCATCTTTCTTAAGAATTACGAACATGTCATCAACATACTGAATCCTAAATTTTGGTTTAAGATGGATAATTAACTATTCCAGCTGCTGCATCATTGCTTCAGCAATCAATCCTAATATTCGCAATCCCACAGATATCTCTTTTGTTTGTTTATAGATCTTGCTAGTGAATTGTAAATAGGTCGTGAGACAAATGGATCAACTCTCTTAGGTTTGGAACCGCTAACTTTGTAAAGTCAGAAAGCGTTTGGTCATTCTTTCAAGAATATCCACTGTTTCCCTGGCTAGACGTCAATCGATTGAAGTCACGTCAAAGGGTTATCATCCTTTCCTTTCTGCCTATCTTTAAATCTTTTATTTCACCTAGAAATTCGGTTTCTGAGCTGACTAAGGGTTCACTTCCATTGACGAGATGGTTTAGTTTTTGATATAATTCTTTCGATAAGTTGAATGGTGTTTCAGGAAGTAAAGCTATTAGTCGTCGTGGAGTATTTACCTTAGGTCGACCATAGAAATGGTCCGTTTCTCTTCATCTGCCATTGTTCTTCCTTTGTGATTTGGTCAGCTTTTACTAAATTCCTCAGCTTTCTTTGGATCTCGTTGCCCAACTGTTTAATTGAATTTTGATCCAGTGGTTGATGCACACTTTCTTCGTTTAGCAATTCTCATGCCTTTCTGACATAACCTATTTCGTTAATGACGACAGTTTTCTCTTACCTAAAGCAAAATTACAATCGTCTTGTCAGTCACTAGCGATCTCAGGAAACTTTTTTCCGTTTCGTTTAGTAGGTGTTGATTTTCACTGAAAGCACAACTGACTGGAGTAGTTCATGTTGTTGCTCAACATTGAGTCCTGAAGTTTTCAGTGTAGACACCAAATAAGCACAGAAATCAAGTTTGTTTGAATTTCCAATAAATTAGTCCGGTCCTTTATGCAGTAAATCGTATTCTATCGTAGATAGTGGGTGTTTTGGAAAATCATTATTATTTTAATGCATTATAAATAATTTGTTTAACGCTAATTAGCAATCAACTCTTTAAATTCTATTATAGTGTTCAGTAATCTGATTCGTAGATATTGTGGTCTGATGTCTTTCATTGTCAGTAAAAGTTGGAACCTTTATAAAAACTCATTCATCATTCCTGACTTATTAACATTATTAAGCAAAATTGCTCTTAGTTGTTTTTTTCTCGGAGTGTTTTTCTTTTCTAAAATTCTTACTTTTTTATTTTTGTTTATACACGTGCACCGAGATGTTTTTAACCTACTGTAGAAGTATTTTCGAAAGTGTAATTATTTAGAATCTATCTGGTTTACTTTTAATTGATTCGACTAACCGCGAGTGACGATCTTGGCGTAAACTACGTTCAGTCGTGTCGTCGTCAACCAATTGTGTACATTGAGGATGAAGCTAAAAGTAAAAAGAACTAAGGCTGTTAATGAGCTGCGATAGATTCTTACAATGTACAGGTGAAACATTTTCAGAATTCTCGACGAAATTACTTCCCGTTCGAACGTCCACTAATGGATCCAGTTACATTTTTTTTCGAATCGCACCTGATAGTTTTGACTCTGTTAAACATTTTGGAGTGCCGCTGATGCACATTAAACCCATCAGGATGCCTCTAAACTTTTATCTGCTTTCTATCCATCAACAATTGAAATTTAAGAACTAGTTTTTAAACAAACGCAAAATTCCCGTATTGAGTAATAAAACAAAATCGTACCGACGAAGAAAATTTCCTTTTGAGGTTTTCATGTACTAAAGCTATAAGTTGTATTTAAAATCATTTGAAATAAAAGTCTATTGTTAACCAGTAAGGTTACGTGTTCACCATAATCTTCTGGAGTAGAGTGGAAAGTTCCTACTAGAAAACTACTACTTTAGCCGTGGTAAGACTAATAAGTGCACTTAACTTCTTCAAACACAAAGACCAGGTTCAGCTTTTTAAATTACCAGTCATTTGGCTAAGCATCGATAATAAAATCAAGGGTCTTTCAAACTGAGGAAACACTTCAAAAATTACTTTGGAGAAACTGTTAGGAAGGGCCAGACGTTCGGAGATAACGAGGTGTTCAATAATAAAACTGTTGTTATTTTCCTCCGTTTCCTAGGGATAACCAAATTACGCCTATGAACTTAATACCATAAACGGCAAGTGTTGTACTCTGCTCCACAGAAATAAAAAACATTGAGGTAGCAAACTACGGCATTCTTTCCTGAATGAGCTTATGAGTTCTCACTGAAAGTGCGATTCACAGGCTAGCTGCGTAGAACTTCTTCCTCAAACATATTGTGGAGCCCTTTCTGAGGATTTCAGCTACAATGGTGCATTTGAATTCTAGGTTCAGGTAGAGTTTTCCTAAAGACTGTCGATACCTTCCGTGTTTGTGACTTTTCCATATTCAGAAAGACTACTCATCTTATAAATGAAACTACATGGACAGGATACTAAGTGATTTACTATAGTTGCCCTTCAATTCAGGTGGATACCAGTCGGTTCTTTTCCAACCGGATTCAAAGAATATGAACATTTGAATCTCAGTGGATATCCGTTTTCTAGTTAGATGTAACGTAGAAACCTTAGTTGATATGGGGAAAGAGAAAAGACTAGTCTCGAGAGGGACCAATCAAAGTGTTCTTTATGTGGTCACGTCTACAGTTAGATAGACAGACGGTGAACCAGCCAGTGAATAGTATTATTTGTTAAAACGAACTATCTATATATTATATATATTTTCCTTTGATTTGATCTTTGGTCTTTCGACCTCAAAACACGTCCATCACGTCTTCTCCATTATTTCGTCGGCTCGGAAATCAACTAGAAATTTTTGAACGTTGATCGCTGACACGATATCCGTGCATCGTTAATGGCCAAAGTATATACCAATTTCTGAACCATAACGCTAGCTCACTATCAAGTGCATCTTCAGAATCCTTGAACATAACGAACGTACAGGTTTCTCTTTGCTAATGAAGGAGACAGGCTGGCTTCAAGAAAAACAAATCATATGTGGATCAGTTTGCAACGTTACGCTACGCCATAGAATAAAGCACAGAATGGCAGTCAACTCTCTACCTTAATTTCATCGACTTTCAAAACGCCTTCGACAGTGTTGACCGACAAGTAATTTGGCATCTGCTGCCACAAACCTTCATCAACCTCATTCAATAGCTATATGCTGTATGATGCTACATGCCAAGTGATTCACAATAGAAAGCTCAGTGATGCCTTTGAAGTGAAGACAGGGAGAAGACAGGGATAGGTTGCCCTACTATCACCGATGATTTTCCTGATTGTCGTCGACTGGATCACGTAACAAACTGTGAGAAGCAAGAAGAGGGGCATACGCTGTTTGACTGATGAAAAGACTCCAGAAGATTTGGATTTCACCGATGATGATGTCGCACAAACTCGAAGATCTACAGGTAAAAAACCAACACGTTGATAGAAGAGGCAGCGAAGACAGGACTTCACTTCAAGTGAATCAAGAGACGACAGAGGTGATAAAGATACCCAACCAACAACAACAATAACGGGCACCAATCATCACCTACCTAGGCAGGGAAGCATCGTTTCAACTACAGGCGGTGAGACAGATGGGGATGTCAAAGCCAGGATCGGAAAGACAGCAAGACAGGCCTTCATTAACCGTAGACATTCAACGGCAGCTGCCGCCTACGCTCACTCGATACTGAAGATCAGATGGCCAGAAGGAACACGAACACGAAACTCTGGCCTGAAAACGAAGCAACCAACAACCCATTGCCCAACAAATATGTAGGAGAAAGTGGAGACGAATCAGGTATACACTAAGAAGACCATTGGGGAACATCATGCTTCAAGCCACCGAGTGGGACCCAAACGGGAAACGACGAGTTGTGTCCGAGGAGAGTGTGACATGGAGATGGTGTGAGGAAGAAACGAAAGCTTCTGGATAGTTGTGGAGCGAGGTTTAAAAGACTGCAGAGAAGAGAGTGAAATGGCGACATGCTACTGAAGCCCTATGTTCCACTAAGAGCCCAAAGGACAAATAATTATAAATTTCAATGAGACAATCAGAGTTTATTGGAAATGCGTGATGCACTGGCGCAATAGAGGTCGAACAGCCTGGTCACAGAGAAGCGTATCCTGATCATGGGGCGTTTTCATAACTCACTTGTCACCTTAAAGATGGGCCTACGTGGATAGGATACTAAGTGAATTACCATAGTTTCCCTTCAATTCAGACAGATACTAATTGGTTCTTTTCCAACCGGATTCAAAAAATATGAACAAATGGCCATTTTAAAAGAGAAACTTTAAAGCTCATCGAAGTATCATTAGACAAGAGATACACCTGAAATTGAAATGCTGGAAAAAAGGATTCATTGTCCAGTCACTTGCAGAGAAACATATCTATCTCACCCTGCTGTATATATGCGTTTCACACTGAACAACATAATATGCAACAAAGATCAGCGTCATGGAGAAAATGAAACTTATGTAAGTCTAAACCTTCGCACCATTTGAACGATGAGGTCATATCCAGTTGCGTCTAAGAGTTCACATGTACGTGGTCACACTTCCGTAGGGAGGACTCATCAAGTGCTGTAATTTAGGGCTCCAGAATGTAATTTAAAGTTGCCACAAAAAAGACTCAATGTTGTCCATAGTTAAAGATTATTGAAGCAAATTACAAGGTTGATTTGTATACATCTTTAAAACCTACCCGTAAAACCCATCGGTAACATTCACTTCCAATCATCACCCAGCATCAGTGAATCATTAGCTTACAACCTCAAACTTCAACATTATACATGGAATTGAGCCTTTTCACATAGCAAAATAGGGCTTTAATTCCAAGCAGATTTCAAGATGCAAAATAAAACATTATTTATGATGAATTCCTCAATAAGTCAGTAACACCATAAGATCCGCACAATCAGTGTATAGAAAAATTCATGTCACCAGCATGGAGAATGTAAAATCGGTCTTATATGAAAATAGAAATTGGCATTTTAAAAAATCAACGTTCATTTAATATAAAATTGAACACTGCGTGTATATACAAATGATAAGGGGAAGCAAGTACATAAGAATTCGGACAACTGCTAACAAATCGAATAGTTCACATAAATATTCTTATTACAGTGTTACGGTGTTAATACTGATGCATTTCCGAATAAAATATAATTCACAAAACAGAAATTATCCTTAGTCATCCAGTTCATGGAGTTGGAAACGTTCTTCATCATACAGTCGTGCTTGTACGACCCGTCCAGCGAAATATCGTTGATTCAAAGCATTGCATGCTGATTTTGCATCATCCGATCGGTCGAACTGAATAAAAATGCGCACGTCCTGATTTCCCATTATGTGTATCAAAACTCGTAGCACCGAGCCATAATTCCCACATTCTTCCATTACTTCCTCTTGGAGTTCATCATCTACTTCATTAACACCTACCATATTTTCCAGTAATAAGACCCTGTAAATGGTAGTAATATGAATAAGAAGTTAATGATCAGAAATCGGATGAAAAGATAGAAATTATATTGAACAATATGGTGTTAGAACTACTGAGTCTAATCGACCAGTTGGTCCAACCACTTGAGGTTATCTGAGACCATACTTAGTCGATAAGTGTATGGGAAATTGAGGACTAAGAATATCCAGATATCTCTATGACGACTGTGTAAAGTGCATATACCTATATCTATCTATACGTCTCCAAATGTCGTAAATACTAAGCTGCTTTCTTACAATAGTTCGTTTATTACACCTAACACAGATAATTTTCAGAACAAAATCATTTGTCAAGTTTATGGAAACTTGAGATAGCGTCAGCTATTAATGATGATTATCATCTCACTGCATTCACGACTAACAGTCTAGATAAACAAAATTTGCTTCATGAAAATCTCAATAATCGAATAAACTGTTGAATTTCAAAGAGCTATGGTGTTAGTTGATAGTTTGGGATCAAAGAACGAAGATTGTGCTTCAAGTGGTAATGCATAAAAAGCAATCTTGTCAACTAAGCTTCTGACTGTCCACATAAACTAAAACGATGTCGAAGATTAATGTATTAAAAATATTTGAGCATGTAGTTCTATTTTTAATAATCAATCACAATCGTCATCATAACTGCTGTTTGGTGTCGTCTATTTGATCTTGTGTCGCTAATAAATAATTCTTGATACTCGTGTCTAACTACAGAATGGAAACATATAGTAAGACACTTTTTCAAGAAAGAAACTGAAGATGTGTAGAATACCAACTTTCATTTAAAGGGAAGGTCAAAAACACTTCAACTAAGAACGATAGCTTGCCAGATGGAAACAGAATATAAAGATATGGGACAAGAAGGTATATCGCTGAAATTTGCACAGTTTCGACGATGATGAAATAAACGCAAATCCTTGTAAGCATAATATACAATATGCAGCTGCGTTGAAAACTGGTGTACAGCGCATCGTAATTGTAGACAAAGTCACATGGTACACGACATGGAATAACAGCCTGTGTTTCCTAGTAGGCACTCGAAAATTAAGATCCTCGTAAAATTTATTCGCCTCGAATTATGCAGTGTTGAAGTAACAATGTAAACAGATTCCTACCTGGACATGCTGATAGTGAATATATCTTCAGTGTCTTCAGCGTCATTTACGTGACTAACCACACTGGGATGATCCTGTTCCATTTCGTTTACAGTAGGGATCTCAGGAACTTCTTCCGTAGAAGTTGGGAGAGGGATTGCTGAGTCGTCATCGTCATCCCAAACAGACGCAGTTGTGATGGAAACTACATCTGGGTAATACAGAAGTTAGGAAAACTATATAGCAGTTTCGCAATATGACTCTATTAAAGTTTATGGAATTTCAAATTGCATTCATATGAAACGTAATTTCTAAATCTCAACGAATGTCTGAATTTTATCTCACAAAATCTACGCAATACCAGTGTTTAAGATACAGAAAAAATACACCTAACTTTATCGATGAAGAAGTTCGATAGTTTTAAACTCCTATACAACTTTATAAATTGAAATTCCTAGGAACCCAATGTGCAATAACAAATTACTATATGAAGACATTTCAAAAAGCACTGTATTATAGGAAGTATTTCTACTTAACTGTTTTGACTTTTTCTTCCCATAAATATCATTTCTGAATCGACAAGGCACTAACTGGATGAAAGCAACTAAAATACTGTTAGTACCAACAGACACATTGATCGCTACGGATTTCGGCTAATATATGGAAATAAAGACAATACTAAGAGATTGGTATTAAGGCAGTTGGTGAGATCTAGATCACCTACTAAAGCACTCTCCACTCTTGATTACCAATCTTTTCCTTTAAGTGAATAGAATGTCCTTCTCATCAACCCTACTGACTGATCAGACTGCAAGAGGAGTCAGGATGAACAGCATGAGTTACGAGGTTGCTAAACTCTATGGGAAATAACACTGCGAAAATACTAGTAAAAGCAGAAGCATATGTCGGAGAAAGTCAACCAGATGGTTGGCGATACTTTATAGCACTTTAATTACGTGCACTTATTCAACTTAGGAAATATGATAATTTAGCATTTACAAGAAGCTATCGCTGAAACTCGCAATCACACGAAGGTTCACTCCCTTTTGTCAGTTTGTGCTTAATTACAGCTAACAGTAAAACAAATTTCGGATTCCTTTTGTTCAGGATAATTACCTTCAATCTGCTTTTCTTCCAATGCTGGTGGTACAGTGTCACCAATAGTAGTAGGAATAAAAACACCAGGGGGCGGAAGGTTTTGTACAGCTGTAGGTGGACCAGAGAATCCAGTAGGTGCAGAACGATTAGTCTGAGAAGACAAAAGAAAAATATAAAGAAACGGATTAACAAGGAATATAGTAAATTACAGTGCATATGAAAAGCTGCATTAAATAAGTGACTATGTGAATCATTACAGAGAATAAAATCGGATATGCTAAATATCTAAGATATAACAGAAAAAATAGTTAGGATTGTGAATATCAAAGATTTGAGCACATGTAGTTGCACCGGATTAGTTGAGAAAATCACCAATGAGGCTCTAGGAAACAGAACTTCGTAAACAAGCGCACTGGTTCAAGAAGTTTCGCGCTTTTAGAGATGACAGCCATTTGCCAGTTCAAAATAAGCGATGCATAATATCTGCGACCACCCTGAACTGACTTTTTATTCAAAGTCAGTATCATAGGTATCCTAATCGTCACTGATTGCTAGATTAACTGGTCCCCACATTATAATTATCCTATCATGAAATTCAGACCCTATAAGTTTAGAAATTTGGATTGCAGGGAAGAAATAAGATTTAATAACAGTAATTAAAAAAATTGAGGTGGGCTTTTTATGCAAAATTATAGTAAAGAGAAGTGCCTATATAATTCCGGGGGATCTCTAATATACACAATATATAGTTAAGGCTAGTTCAGATTCTCTCTCTACTCTCTAAATTATGGCTTGTACATGTTCCTAAATAATTAATTGACGTTACATACATGCAGATAGACAATATTAAAGCATAACCTCGCACACAAGTGCATCGTTTTAGTTGGCACAGTTCACAGTAGCATCCAGAGAACAACCGAGTATAAAAAGTGATATCAACGTACATCGATTTTCCGCTATTACACCAAGAGTTCTTAACCACGGATTCCTATCATCTCAGGGACTGCAGACAGATAGTCTACAACTCCCTATACGACTCAGACTAACAGTCAGAAACATTATACACTGGTGTCACATCTTGGTCTAATTACCGTGAGTCACCTGATAATATCCAACTTCTCCTAGCCTAGTAGAACATTTCGAGGTAGGTGGTGGCCCCACATGAGCAACGCACGTCCAAGCCACTTCAGTGGCTGAAGGATCACAACTTCATCGACTTACCTAGCACCTTTTATCGAACTTCATACACACCAAATTTACATCGATTTAGCTGGTATCCTGTAAATAATGTTAATTTACGTAAATTTAATATTTTGGGGAAGATCTTTGATAGTGATGATATTTCAAAAAAAGTCATAAAACATTTCAGTGACCATACCATACGGTTACATACGATCAGGTGGTTTTGTTGAAACTATCAACATTAAGGAATCGAACATGAAGGCAAGTTACAACCATCAAATACTGACCAAACACCTCTGAACTAAGCTAAAATCCATGTATTCAAATGATATGACACATTTACTGGCATTTAATAACCAGGATGGCTGATAAAATGACACCATACAGAGGGAATCTCAAGCATTTTATCAGCTATCATCTATATCCTTCTACAAAAAGCAAAAAGAAATAAATGAACATCGAATAAAAGCGGGTACTCAACCAAACAACAGTCAAGAGGCATGGAGTATCTCCGCGAATCGCTACACTTTAAGACACGAAAGAAATCAATTTTAAAATGAAAAAGATGACACTTAGTAGTGAAAGGTAAGAGTGAGAGGAAAATAAGAAGTGCGATATCGTGCAATATTCGCTTCTTGCAACTAAATAAAGTAATCATGTATCTACATACTTATATTACGTAGACTTCTCGCCAATCAGCATTAGTTGTTTCCCCTCCCCATTGCGCTCCAGCCCAAGATCAACAAGAATGAGCTCACGCTCATCCACTAATTCAGAAGCCACTGAGATTCCCTGACGCTTTCTAAGTTCTTTCTGAGTCAGTTACCATCCCCGACGCTGTTTTCATAGCAGGCTGGAGAAAGACCCAGGTTTCTCGATGAGTGACGTTGTTCTATTCCGATAACTACCTGTCAGCCTCTCGCTAAAGGTAGTTGTCCTACTCTAATCGTCAAAATGCACTAAGAATGATCTTGTTTCAGTTTTTCTACATATATTTATGTGCAGGCACATGCGCCACGAGTGCTTTTGTCTGACTTAACCTGCCGAATTGTGCATTAAAAACATCTACGAAAACTACATCTACACGTTTGCCTCTATGCATAAGTAAAGATAAAAAACACAAAACAAAGAATCTTTCAAGTTCCCACTGCACCACTCATCAACAGCGCACTGGTTACTAACAACTGGGATCAAGAGGAGAAGCATACTTTCTACCTAAGCACTGAAATCAATACCTCCACCTGCAGGATCCCAAAAACCAGATACCAAGTATGTTAGACTTCGGGTCATCGAAGCTTGAGGGTCAATCTGACTAGGTAGGTGAACGCTGGAAGCCCGAAACTGTAATTTCGAGCGAAGATTCAAAAAACCAGTAATACTGTGCAGCGAACCTAGGTAGATCCTAACAACTACAGAGCTAAGACAAAAAAAAATCCTACGGAATTATTGACCGACAACCTTAAAAAAACGACACAACATAAATATTTGGAAACTTTACAATGATCTCAAAGCACTTCTATACTAGCAGACTTATGAAGGTGCTGCACACTTAACAACCACCGATAACGAGAGGTTACATCTTGGGGTACGCGACAAAATGTGCGGTTAGAACCAGTGATGCCCGAACATAGAAGCAGTGACATGTACTATAGGCTATCCGCAGGGTGAACGCGCGAAGCATAGCCTCCAAAAATCACCCAGAACAATCAACCACAGCTCAAGCAGACCGACATCAACGAAACTGTCTATAAAGTAGATGATACACCAGTCATCAACTTTCGCTAAATCCTGCAATAATGTACATAACACTTCTGAAAGCGATCTTATTGGCATATTATCTTAAAAGCACTAACTTCGGTGCCTCGTCCTCTATTTGATGAGTCAGTGACCGACAAAATCTCTGTACCAATGCAGAAAGCTCGATTCACTTCCTCCAACATACATCAACAGTGGTGCAGCCGTGGTACCCGATTGTCTATTAAGGTTCAGATGTACTTCACTGCAGTTCGCTGTTCTACTAGATGGCTGGGAAAGATGAACATTAAAGAGGAAAGACAAGAAGAGGTCTCAGCTATTTGATTACCGTTGCCTTCGCAGCATAGGCCGTGTGTGTTCCACTAGCGTAGGTTGTTGGGTCATTGTGATAAGCAGGCCCGACCGCCATGTAAGGCAGGTACTATCCGTCGAATTACCACTCAGTTACCCAAATCCGAATTAATTGGATTGATTTTGGCTCGTTAACCCACTGCTAAAGGCCGTGGACCATCATTTTTCTGATTTACGATGGTTGGAATTCAGGCATATTTGGAGACAGTCGATCCATAAATGTTTTATCTGTGCCTAGTATTAATTTTCTGAACCATGTGATTTTTCTATTCATCTGTAACTCTGTCCTTTCACATGATCGATTTGCACATATTTGCCGCGTCTAGTATTCACAATTCACCCAAGCGATTAGATACATAATCCCCCCCCCCCCAGCCCCGAAATTGTACAGTAGGAAACAAACTTTGACGTTTTCTATCATCACTATCATACAACCAAATTTCATGTTCACAATGCACCATAATTTCTAAGAGTAACTCACTTTATCCATAGAAATTATGATAATTCAGCAATCGACTTCGCTTATAGCATGCAATTATTTCACAGCCATAAAACTTACGGAATGGAATGGAGTTAACTAAAAACTCCTAAGCTGAGCCATGCCCTAATACTGTACAATAAGTCGTAAATCGAATGTTTTTTAGGATAAGTAGAAGAATACAAATGATAAAGCTTCTTCGATGTTCTTATTTTTATTCTTTCACCTTTTTATGAGAATCATTTACTTGTGTTTCACTTTTTCGCATTCAGATAAGCAAAATTAAGCTACTCACTCTGTTATCTATTCTCTCTGGATCTTCGAGAAGTGTGTAAAATCAAGCGCTGGATTTTAACGAAGAGGATTACTCTGTCACTTCCTTTTATATGAGAATCGACTTTAATATTTTTTCATCTTCCGGTCTCATTGAAGCATTACTAACCAGTGGTTTATTTGCTTCAAGAATGAAACAAACGTGGAACTGTAGGATTGAAAACAAACCACAGCTACTAATCATATTTCCTGTTGAGAATATAATTTTTCAACTGTTAAGGATTTATTATTATTTCTTGTCCCTTGGGTTCCTAGTGGAACATAGGGCTTCAGTAGCATGTCGCCATTTCACTCTCTTCTCTGCAGTCTTTTAAACCTCGCTCCACAACTATCCAGAAGCTTTCGTTTCTTCCTCACACCATCTCCTCCATGTCACACTCTCCTCGGACACAACTCGTTGTTTCCCGTTTCGTGTTCGTGTTCTTTCTGGCCATCTGATCTTCAGTATCAAGTGAGCGTAGGCGGCAGCTGCCGTTGAATGTCTACGGTTTGTTAGAAATGCTTTTCGTAACGCGCCACATAGAAGCACTGACTTACTCGACATTAGTGTTGAAAATCCGGATCTTGTTCTCGCTTTATGCTGAGTGCAGTAGATCTCCACACTGATTTCAGGTTAATGAAGGCCTGTCTTGCTGTCTTTCCGATCCTGGCTTTGACATCCTCATCTGTCTCACCGCCTGTAGTTGAAACGATGCTTCCCTGCCTAGGTAGGTGATGATTGGTGCCTGTTATTGTTGTTGTTGGTTGGGTATCTTTATCACCTCTGTCGTCTCTTGATTCACTTGAAGTGAAGTCCTGTCTTCGCTGCCTCTTCTATCAACGTGTTGGTTTTTTACCTGTAGATCTTCGAGTTTGTGCGACATCATCATCGGTGAAATCCAAATCTTCTGGAGTCTTTTCATCAGTCAAACAGCGTATGCCCCTCTTCTTGCTTCTCACAGTTTGTTACGTGATCCAGTCGACGACAATCAGGAAAATCATCGGTGATAGTAGGGCAACCTATCCCTGTCTTCTCCCTGTCTTCACTTCAAAGGCATCACTGAGCTTTCTAT